ATCTCAGTGCTGTTCCCCAGAAAATACCAGATACTCCTCTTTCCCTGCTGGAATACCTGTGTCAGCGTTGGGGTGATGCCGGGGAAGGGTTTGGGGGTCACAGCAGCCCCAGAGCTGCTCTGCTGCTGGGTTTGTGCTGCTCTGGCAGCTCCTCCTGTTGGGATCCCTGCAGCAGCCGAGCTGCTGCCAGCTCCAAAGGCAAAAAGCACCGTGGATCCCTTCCCTGATCCCACAGAGATTCCTGTGGGTCCAACCTTTTCCTGTGGGTCCAGCCCCTTCTGGGGGCTCTGAGCTGTGCCCTGTGGTCACTCCTGACCTTCCTGGTGACAGCGTTTAATCCAGCTCGACCAGGAAAATGGGCCAGGAGGGGCTGAGGGTTCAGCGCCGGAGCTTTGGCAGGTATCAAGGGAAAAGCCAGAAATCCTCCCCTCTTAATCTCAGGCTGCACCAGGGATCTGCATTCGGTGCCTAAAGCTCTGCTGTTCCAGCCTGCAGCTCACAGGAGGGGTTTGGGTGGATAAACTCAACCCCCTCACTCCAAATTTTGCCCCAGCATCTTATAAATGCTGGAAAAACCCCAAAATTCCCTTTAACATGTAGCTCAGCCCTTTATGCTGTGGGCTCTTTAACCCCTGCCCCTAAAGTGGCTCTGGACAGACCCAGGGGAACTCCCAGCCCCATAAATCTGTCACATCCCCGAAATCCACTTAAAAATCCCCCAAGGAGCAGAGCCAGCCCCGCCAACCGCTTCAGATGCAAATTTATGGCGTGGCCGGGGCCAAGTGGGGTTTTTGATTCACAAAGCTCCTGCCCAGGGGCTCGGCCGGACAAGGTGAAGGCGACCTTGGGGTGGTTGGCGCCGAGTTCTTGGCCAGGGAAGGAGGGAAAAGTGAGGGCAAGCCATGGAAAGGGAGATAAGGGGCACAGGGAGCCAGGGCACAGCTGAGCCAGGAGGGAGGATGTGGGTTTTGTTTCCTTTTCTGATTGCCGGCCTTCCTGCAGGGCCCACACTGAGGGAATTCCCCCGGCCACCGAGGCCCTGCCAAGTTTGCTTGGCTTGNGCCCCAGCCTCACCGAACTCGCAGCACGGGGATCTGTCTCTCCATAGCAGAAGGAGATGGAGCCGCTAATGTGGGGAGGGGAAAGCCCTTTTTGGGTTTGGAGGCAGCTCCCGGAATTCCTATGGAATCGCTTCCCCGGGAGCTGCGGCAGCCGAGCCGCAGAGCCTGGAGCTTTCTGCTCCTTGGAGTGGGTCACGGGGAAGGAACACGTAAAGCTTGTTTGCCAGCCGCATGATTTGGCTTATTTGCTCTCTTGTAGCAGGTGCTTAATTGTGGCAGAAAGGGTTCCCGGCAGCTTTCTGGGCAGCCAAATTCCCGCCTGCCCCTCTGGCAGCCAGGCAAAACAAAAGCGCGATTGTCACCCGCGGGCGGAACGCTCCGGCTGCTGCCGAGCTCCACGGGCCTCGCTCCTTCCCGGGAGAAAAGGTTACCGAGGCACCGAGGAGGGCACGGGCTGGGAAAGGACCGACACAGCCCCTCTCCTGCCAGGGAGGAGGACAACGAGTCTCAGCTGACTGTTCCCCAGCTGTGGCACGGCTTGGCATGGCATGGAATGGCACAGCGTGGCACAGCTGCCAGTGCCATCCCCCTCCCTCAGCACTGTGATCCCCACCAGGGCTGTGATTAAAAGGCCTTTTGCTTCCCGCTCCCATCCCTCCAATTTCACAGAATCACAGAATTTCTAGGTTGGAAGAGACGTTTAAGATCATCGAGTCCAACCCATGTTCTAATACCTCAACTAGATCATGGCACCAAGCGCCACATCCAGTCTTTTTTTAAACACATCGAGGGATGGTGACTCCACCACCTCCCTGGGTAGATGATTCCAGTATTTGACCGCTCTTTCTGTAAAATACTTCCTCCTTAATTCTAGCTTGTATCTCCCTTGGCGCAGCTGGAGACTGTGTCCTCAGTTTAAGCCTCTTGAACCTGTCCCCAAGGAATTCCATCTGTCCAGCTCCATGATCCTGCTCTGGGGGTCACACCAAGCCCCCTTTCCACCCCACAGCATCCTCCCTCCTCCTCCTCCACAGCCAGCAATGAAGAAGCCCTCAGGATACCCAAGATATGAGCGGACATT